TTTATCCCCTGTAGAAAAATTATTAGGTTACTAATTAACTGCTATCATGTTTTATGGCTTTTATCCAATATATAAAATATAAACAGTGCTTAAAAATGTATTAAACTGCCAACCAGTGTAAGGTTTAGGCTGCAGTTGCCCTAAATTAACAGTGTTGGTAATAACATTAAAAAAAGTTTCTGTTATAGTGCCTGTAACGGTTAATCCACCAGTACGAAGAAGCTCTTTAATCAAAACAACATTTTTAATGCTAAAATATAAATAATTTTGCTATCCAGGAATTTTAAACAGCCAGTTTTGATTACTTGCTAATATAAAAATCTAATGCGTATTTCCCCGATAAACAAAAATATCATTTGTAGCTTTAATCAAGTTTTTTGCATTAAAAATCAATATTTGTGTTTTCTTGTTTTTATGACAGGTGATCTGATGAATTTACTAACCCCTTTATGCACTGTTGTTGATATCACTGCAAGGTTATCTACCCAAAATAAAAAGGAATGGCAAAATGCACGTCTGTGATGTGTTACTGGACAACGATCACATGGACAGTTCATGCACACAGTGGCTTTCTGCCTATGCTTACTCAAAGTTAGCCATTTATGGTCTCAGTGCATATAATTAACCCAGAGGATCGTACTGCCTTCAAAGTTAGCAGCCTTTCAATGCAAACATAATTTTTTTATTTCCCCTTTTCTTTCTAAGTGTCAATGACCTAAGATGCTAAAAGTTGAAGCAGTGCATATTTTTTAAAAATTGCTGTCTGGTTATTCAGACTTAATGGCTCCTCACTTCTGTAATTAGCGATGTAGTTCCTAATAATCAAAGAGAAGTGAGGATCTGGAATTCAGATAAAGAGCTGTACTTCTGCAAAACATCTTCAGCAAAACTTTAAATACTTATTGTTTGAAGTACTAATGATTCTCTTTGTCAGGCGCACCTCAAACAGAGCATCTGGGTACATTAATGATCATGCACTAAAGTTTGTCCTTTGGACTTTTATATACCTTTTATTACACATCATTATCAGTGCAGTCCGCCACACACAACAGTATTGTGTAACATGGAAATGCAATAAATCGTTCAAATGATTTCACTCACCCGGCAGCGGTTGCCACAGCAACCTTTTCCACAGCAACCCTTGCCCCCGGCCCTGATAGCTGAACAGCTCGGACACAGCATCTGACAGGTGCAGAGACGAGACATTACATCTCCTATCAAAAAACTGTTTTTGTTGTTGATGAATTCTCTCAAAAAACGTTTTTTTTCTATTTCTTTGGGTCCACCCACAGGTTACATACTTATTTGTGTGTGCGCATGTGCACAATTGTGTGTGTGTGTATGTTCGCTTATCTATCAAACCAAATATTTGTAAATCCTGCATCAAGGTTTACCCAGCAAGCAGCGACATCCCAAAGTTAGACGAAAGGGATCAAACTTCCTGGTCTGAAGTGAAATGTTATACTGAAGTACAAAAGATTAAATATTTATGAATTATTTATTGATAGTGATAGCTCACACAATGTCAAGATAGTCCCCTTTTAATAAGGGAAGTGTAATACAATTTAACTACTTTAGCTTCTTTAATAGCATTAAGGAAACTAAAGTAATGAAAGCTGGCAAATTAATGTAAACGCTACAACATTTCTATCTCAATTATAGCAGCATAAATACTTTAGTAATGCATTTAAGTGAATTTATTTATTTTTATTATTAAAGATCTTTTATATGAGTGGTGTGATTTGGTTACATTCATTATTTATTTTCAGAATGACTTACATTTACATTCTTCTTCAATGTTTTGGTATCTAAAGCATGTTCATGTACACATAAGCTGAGCTAGAATTTAAAATGTTTACTCAGTGAGTCATAACACATCTTTAAAATAACCCTTAACCATTGTTAAAGGTGCTGCTTTTACTGGTTTTACATATGACAAGTCAAATAATAACATCACGCTGAACCCCAAACCACTAATAGGCTGATAGAGACAAAGAGCCGTGTACTATTAATAAAAATGGTCTAACAAAACTCTATGCTAATCTAAAAAGGATCATGCAGTAGTAATTCTCAATAAAACTCAATAAACGTAAGCAGTTTAACTTTACTAGTTTACACTACGAAAC